GTGAACCCTAGGTTAACCCTAGTTTTGAAAAGTCAATTAGGGTTAGCTCAGGAAAGGGTTAAAGAAGGTTCCAAGATATGGTTTCCGCATATGAAATGAAAGAGCACTTCGTTGCGCATCTTCTCAACACCAAATGGTCCGGATAAAACAACAGCACGGGGGTTTAAATGGGCCCCAAACAATTGTTACCCCAGTGGGCCCAAAGGGGTTAATGTGGACGATTTGGTTATGCGTAGGGTTAGGCCGCTCTAGACTTCACAGGCCTCTTTTGTATACTTACAGTGATAGAAAAGGCGATATTTGACTTAGCAAAAAAAGAATTTTTGAAAAAGCTTCAACTGGGACTCGAAACCGGGACCCCAAAGTTGCCAGGCAAGCGCGCAGACCACTGGGCCGCCGAGACTTGGGGTTAGCGAGGGTTAACCCTGGGGTTAACCCTAGGTTAACCCTAGTTTTGAAAAGTCAATTAGGGTTAGCTCAGGAAAGGGTTAAAGAAGGTTCCAAGATATGGTTTCCGCATATGAAATGAAAGAGCACTTCGTTGCGCATCTTCTCAACACCAAATGGTCCGGATAAAACAACAGCACGGGGGTTTAAATGGGCCCCAAACAATTGTTACCCCAGTGGGCCCAAAGGGGTTAATGTGGACGATTTGGTTATGCGTAGGGTTAGGCCGCTCTAGACTTCACAGGCCTCTTTTGTATACTTACAGTGATAGAAAAGGCGATATTTGACTTAGCAAAAAAAGAATTTTTGAAAAAGCTTCAACTGGGACTCGAAACCGGGACCCCAAAGTTGCCAGGCAAGCGCGCAGACCACCGGGCCGCCGAGACTTGGGGTTAGCGAGGGTTAACCCTGGGGTTAACCCTAGGTTAACCCTAGTTTTGAAAAGTCAATTAGGGTTAGCTCAGGAAAGGGTTAAAGCTTGTTCCAAGATATGGTTTCCGCATATGAAATGAAAGAGCACTTCGTTGCGCATCTTCTCAACACCAAATGGTCCGGATAAAACAACAGCACGGGGGTTTAAATGGGCCCCAAACAATTGTTACCCCAGTGGGCCCAAAGGGGTTAATGTGGACGATTTGGTTATGCGTAGGGTTAGGCCGGTCTAGACTTCACAGGCCTCTTTTGTATACTTACAGTGATAGAAAAGGCGATATTTGACTTAGCAAAAAAAGAATTTTTGAAAAAGCTTCAACTGGGACTCGAAACCGGGACCCCAAAGTTGCCAGGCAAGCGCGCAGACCACCGGGCCGCCGAGACTTGGGGTTAGCGAGGGTTAACCCTGGGGTTAACCCTAGGTTAACCCTAGTTTTGAAAAGTCAATTAGGGTTAGCTCAGGAAAGGGTTAAAGCTTGTTCCAAGATATGGTTTCCGCATATGAAATGAAAGAGCACTTCGTTGCGCATCTTCTCAACACCAAATGGTCCGGATAAAACAATAGCACGGGGGTTTAAATGGGCCCCAAACAATTGTTACCCCAGTGGGCCCAAAGGGGTTAATGTGGACGATTTGGTTATGCGTAGGGTTAGGCCGCTCTAGACTTCACAGGCCTCTTTTGTATACTTACAGTGATAGAAAAGGCGATATTTGACTTAGCAAAAAAAGAATTTTTGAAAAAGCTTCAACTGGGACTCGAAACCGGGACCCCAAAGTTGCCAGGCAAGACTTGGGGTTAACGAGGGTTAACCCTGGGGTTATCAACCCCAAAGTTGCCAGGCAAGCGTGCAGACCACTGGTCCGCTTAGATTTAGGGTTAGCGAGGATTTTACTAATGGTAACTTGCAGCTTCTGTAATCCCTTTCATCTAATATCCCATGAATTAATAAATAGCCCAGCGACTTTAGAAAGCCTATTAAAAAAAATGTCTACCTCACTGGTCGTCTGTCAAATTTGCCAAGTTTGTAGAAACGAGTTACATCCCTTTGCCGGAAAACGCGTCTTCTATATAATTGGTTAAGGTGGAGGTGTTTGAGAGATGCGCTATGTCTTACGGTGCACTGTACAATAAGTTGGGTATATTGGGACCCCAAGGTCGTTGTCTGTGTAACATCTCATAAATGTTCCAAATCTTTTACGCCCGTGGGGTAGGATAGTCCAAAAAATCTGCTTCTATTCCATCCCAGTGGAACCAAAGAAAAAGAAAAATGAATGCAGAAGATTTTTTGAAAGAACCGGGAGATCATTCAGTAGGATCTTCAGATATGGTAAGAGTTGAGGAATGATTTTATGAGTAGATAAAATGAATATTATACTATAATACCATTGAATAATATGTAGAATGCAGATAGAGGCAGAACAATAATTGCAATAAATCATAATGATTATCACTTTGTTGTATTTATGTTTAGCACAATTTGTCTTTGGGGTGGTTTTTGCACCATATGCAGTGGTCATAATGAATATAGACAAAGTAAGTGATGAGAGATGACGGTTTCCTTATTACAGACTTCCATCGTTTTCAGCAGTTTTTGACACTCCAATCTAATTACAATTAGATTGCAATACATTTAGTATCCATGCATATATGCATAAATTGAGATCCACGTCGCCGATATTGCTTTTTAAGTATATACAGTGGTGTAACCTATTTTCGTGGATATAAGGATTCAACACCGAATTTCGTCAAAGTTAAAAAAACGAAAAAAAAATTTATGTCTTAGATGTTTCCTCAGATATTCTACAAAATAATTAAAATTGGTTTATATCGATTTTCTTTATGAATCCTTCACTTTGACCCATATTTCACGAGCAACCAACTCTGCAACGGCGGCAGAATGCGTCACCTACTTTCGTGTACAATGTTTGATATATAAATAAGTCGAAAACACGTTGTATGGATACCGGGTGGTATAATTAACTTCTCTTAGTATTTATCTTTAATATCAATTCATTATAACTAGTGACAATTCCTTCAAAGAACCATGATCTTAAAAAAAAATATTGACTGACAAAATAAGATACGTAGCGTGATTTATTGCTAAAAGTAACTGAAACAACATAAGAATATGGTCCACTTTGTGTTCCATAGAAATTTTCTGCTGACACGGAATCCGCTAGTTGATCACGTGACTTCATTCGTTGGACTACATTCTAGCAGACGACACTTGAAAATCCGATTACCGCTTGGGATTATAAGGAAATAATGGCAGATAAAAAATGGTGACGTTTGGTAATAACTGAAATCCGCCATTTTGTATTTGTCATATAAGTATACATTAATACATTTTACCTTGCTTGAAACTACTGAATTCATTCTACTAGCTGATATTGTAGAGAAAACCCATGTCTATCAAAACAAGCTAATGCGGAGGTCACGCAATGTCGCTCATGTAAATTATTAATCATTTCCGGAAATCCACGAATAATAGGTTTCCACGAAATTAGGTTACTTGACTGTACATTTAAACCTATTTGTAATGGTAATATAGCTGATTAGAGCCTAAGCTATACGGATATCAAACATAGGCCAAAGATTATTTTGTCCCCCATTGTGTTTGACTTCAAAAGAAAAGAAAAAATTAAATTTATAGATCGATTTTATTGCAAACAACATTGCATACTAGTTTGTAAAACTATCCCACCTGCTACGGTCTATAAATTGACCTCGTGACCTTTGACCCTCCCGTCAAACCCGTTTGAATACACTTAAGCCTTGTTATTTGAAAACGTACTGAAAATGGGCTTCGAAGTTTCTTCGGATTATGGTTATGTTATCCTCGTTTTACCTGCTACATGGGTTATCATGAATTTCCTAGCCTTAAATGTTATGAAAGCTAGAAAGAAGTATAACGTTGAGGTTAGTTAAAAGAATTGATTTGTCATTATTTTATGGCGGGGCATCTGTGCCAAAAGATGCCTTAATGGATTCTCACTCAATGTTACATCAAAATGTCGTAATTTAAAATATATATTGACCTGATTTCTAGTGTCTGCTTTACAAAATTGGTTAATAATTCTATAAATAATCCAGTGTCTTTCAAATGATGATAAATTCAAATGGCATATCACACAAATCCAATTTTTCAGCTTTGAGCTTAATCTTAGTTATCAGAAGAACTTCAAAATGAAATTATATCACTAAGCTGTAGACTTGAAGACACATATTATGTAATGTTACAGCGATACATTTAGGTTCAATTATCGATTTGATATATTAGACCTCAATGGCACTGTTTTTTCTAATTTCAGTATCCCAACCTATACTCAAATAATCACAATTTTAACTGTGTTCAAAGAGCTCATCAGAATACGTGAGTAGATGAATACCATAATCATTAATAGTCACAGTGACAAAATGGGGAAATTGTAACTGAATGGAGACAATGCTTAATATGAGAAACGTCTCTCAGTGCTTTCAGAAAAAAAATGGTCAGGTGGAATACATATGTTTATATGTATACGTATGCATACACATAATATACGTGACAATGTAAAAATGCTTGGGCTTAATTTCAAATAATGTTTTAGACAGGTAGTATACATCTGATGTCCCCAGAAATGGTTTCGACTTGCCTTTAACTTATTTTGATATGTGTTATGTCCCTTTGATTACTTTATTTATAATGACGACCTATGATTATGCTTGAATCGAATGCTCATCTCTTGTTATAGAGAATTTCTTAGAATGAGCACATTCTGTTACTAGACTGATATTGTGTACCTTTTCTTTCAGATTAGAGAATTTGCCATTTTTTATCATGTTTTTATTGACTGGTGGACTTATGTTTCCAGTAAGACCATATTTACTTAAATGTAGCAATTAATAACTTAAGATAAAGCAACTATTTCAAATTGGGCTTAGTATAGTTCCATATTCACTACGACCTGTTATTGGTTTCACAAACATTATTATCATTATTATGCCGACTCCTGTACGGAAGCATCATGGTCTTTACGTTTTTTTTCACTAAAAATATTGATTTAAAAAGTTTAACAATTATTTTTTTAGAAATTGTGTGCAGCTAGTGGAGTATTATATTTAATTAGTAGATTAGTTTATGCTCATGGTTATTATACAGGAGGTAAGTTATATCACACAATTTATTGTATTTAATGTATATGTTTAGTTTGATATTAATTCATTCATAATAATTTATAAGATTAATTGATTTTCTGGCTGATATCGAAGGGATCGGCAATCTGCAATAGGCAGAATTACTTACGTCAACGCCTTGGTATTGGTATCAAGAACTTTAATTACGTTTTTCCGTGTACATTTTCTTAAGATGATCATAATATTATCAGTCAATGATTCATGAGAATCTCTTTTTTAAAATATACGTATTATCTTTCATAGAGATTATATTCTTATAGTCGTGGTACCTGGTGAGTCCAACAATGTATACACTTGTTGACCAAGTTTGAGACTTTAAATTTTATGTCAATTCTAAAAGGTAGTATCCTTTTAAAGTCATTGAATCGCAGGTAATTCTTTATCATGTGTGATAATGCTTCCGTATTTTCAGATCCTGCTAAAAGAAATTATGGTGCTTTTGGTTATGCTGGACTAATAACCCTTATAGTATGCACTGTTATTACTGGATTAAATATGCTTGGTTTGGTGTAAAAAGATACAACATTAGTAAATCTATGATGATCACACACAAATTTCTGCAAAGATCCTTTTTTTAATTTTGTACATTTGTTAGTTTATATCTAGTAATATTTTCATTTTTGGAATAAAATTTATCCACAAATTTTGATGTTATCATTTCAATATACCCTCGAATCTCTTTTTGTAGCGATTTTTTTGTTTCAAAAATTGATTTCCTAAAATTGAATATGTACAGTAAGTTACAGCCATAACCAAAATAAATGGAAATATCACAGAAATATTTTTTTATTTTTTTCAATACAAGAGGTAAAAATATACAAAACATTTACAAACCCATTCAAAAATATACAAAAATACGACATCATTAAATACAATTCGCTAAATACCAATGAAATGAAATGCTAAACGTAACTGTAAACTAATACAAGAAGCTCTAACTCATTTCCAGACATGATCCAATAATCACTCAAAACATTGAAACATTTGATGTGAGACATCCAAATTAAATCTGCGATGTTCATAAAGAGGCAATTAGGGCTATATATATTCAGAACTTCACTTAAAGAGCTGGGTCTGTAACATTCAATCCTACACTACTTAGTTCCCTGATTCCTGATGTAACATCATTTTTCAGGGCATAGAAAGTATTCGTCAAGAATTTGGGTATTTTCGAACCTATTACTTATTTCTTTTCAGGTGAATTGCATAATTCACCAAACGACAAACGCATAATAACCAACGTTTAATGCGTTAAATTGGTCATACGGCATGTGCAAGGAACAAAAAGCAATCTAATTTCACCTACGGACTAACTGCCGTTAAGATTTTATCTATCTCTATGACATCCAGATAAATCATAAAGATCAAAAAGTTCTCAGAATATGAGTAAGAAATTGATGTTGATGATCAAGAGAGTCAAAGAATTTTTTCTGTGAATGAGGTTTAGATTTGTCTCAAATCGTGGTAACATACATTATTTCTGGTAATTCCGTAACAAAACCCAGGAAATTCTATTGCATATTTTCTTGTATTTTTGACAAACCAGACAGACCAAATATAAATAATATAATATTTAATGAGACATGGCGTTTCTTTATCTTGCATTGGATATGTGTTCAATACAATGGAATAAACTGATCAATTATAATAAATTATAATAAAGCAACTAATAAAGATATAAATAATACAAACAATGATAAAGAATTAAATGAACTACTATTATCTCCATCAACATCTTCAACCTGATATGGCCTGTACTCTTCACCTTTTAAAAATGATCTGAAACACGTAAAATGATGGTATTTTGATATCACTTCAAGTATATATATTCTAAACCCCCTTTTTTATACCATCAAAGGTTTTATACGAGATAAGCTGACAAGCACATATCGGCAGTTTAAAATAGAAACATTTTGTAACATAAGAATTGAATTTGGACAATTTCAACTTGATCTCTAAACATTTACCACTTGCCCTTTGTTCACAGTGGGCGAGGAGTACGAGGGGTGTGTTCATATAAAATTACAGGGATAAATCGAGTCGAACTGGTTTTCAGCCAGGAAGGTTAAGTTAATTCCATATTTCTCCTGTATATGCTAGGCAAACGTTAGATTTTCAGACTTCCTACAGTTCAAAATAGTGTCAATGCTGATAACAATGAAGAAACTGTTGCAAATTTATTTTGAAAGACTTCTCGTCGAGAAACTTCCACAGCAATGTTTCGAAATATTACAAGTACACGAAATAGTACCACCAAAGCTAAAACAACCTAATCAAAATTTTATGATACTTACTTAAATCCTAGAATCATAGCTTTTAGTCCATCTCCCACTGTATCTTTACTGTTAAAATAATGATTAGTATCCATAGAAACTTGAACTATATTTTCATCGCGTAACTTGAGACGAGCATGCTGCATTGTTAACGTATAAACCTACAATTTAAATTTCATAAATTATAAAATTGCATTTTTAGGCTTTTGAATGTTGTTCTCCGAATTTTTGTCATAGATGAAATTGTCAAGATGTACGAACTGCGTCTAATACCCTGGCATCGTTAAGCACTTTCTAGTATCACGGGAGTTTGTTCGTGCAAAGATTTGATTGGATGTTACGCCATCGAATGCAGCCAATCGTAGCCCTCGACTAATAGTAAAACGCGAAGACATATTTTTTACAGCGCGAGATTCGATTGCTAAATTCGCTAGCGTACAATTAATCGAAGCGCTTCATGTTCAAACATCCGTAATATAAAAAAAAAGTGCCTAATGATGTCAAGGTATAAGACTAAGCTCTGAAAAACTCGACATTGCGAAGATGCCTACTATCAAGAAGATTAAATAGGCTGGACCAAAATGTCAATTGTGCTTCAAAATATCAGTCATCATTCTTTCTGTCTCTGCTTCATGTTATTGAATAGGAATTTAAATTCAATAACAAAACAAAAATTTCAGAGATATCAATATTCTTGAACAGTAAAGTATCTTGGCATAAAATTTTAACTTACAACGTTATCTTCTAAGGAATACAGAATTAATATGGTTTCATTACAACTGCCTTCAAATTTCCACTTCTGAGTTAAAAGATACGAGTACATATGAGCCTCTTTCAAATTTCTGTTTGGTCCACTTGTTGTTAAACTGAAAGTAAACGAACACATTACATATTACATTCCTAGAAGTGTATCGTAGGATTTTTTTTCTAACGCCTTCATTTCAAAATTAACTTATTTCCCGCTGACAGCCAATCAGAACGTCCCGACGTGGTAATTTAGTTTAGATGAAAATTTTAATGATACTACGTGGTAAAATGCTTATCAATTGTAGTTACCGGATAAACTATGTAGGCTAATTTTATTCTGCTTGCTTGTGATTGACAAATAATAAATAGATGTTGATCCAGAACAAGACCATTGGACTTTAACTCATAGAAATTCCTTTCTTAGCAATTGAAAACCCGTTGATGTCTATTCCTTTCGTAAAGTAGAATAAAGTTCTACGCTTTATATAGATTAAGAGGGGAAAAGTTGGTGTAAATGTGAAACAAGGTTGGAACAGAACCAACATCTCTGACAATGTGTTATTACCATAGAAACTTGCATTGAGATCTACGTTATAATTCACACGTGTCTATGAGAACTTAATACTGGTATGCCTATTATTAGCTACTAGACATGATCTAGCCTGAAGAACCAATTACATAACACAATAATATAAATAAACTTGTCAGATCATTATCTACATGCATCTTCATTTATTTTACACCCTTGCCAAACTACGATACCTACAGGTATTTCATTATCACGGATCGTTATCATTCTCAATTTTCATACCTCATAGTAAGCAATATTAATCTTAAAACACTTACAGAATATACTTATTTCATTAACTGCTACAAATGTTTCTCCAACATGTTGTTTGGATTTTAGGTTTTGTTTTGCGGTTCGGATTGTTAGTACTTGTTTATTTATACTTATATAAAAACGATCCCAAAAAATAGAATATTCTATGTAGGGCAATATAGTATTGGTCTTATTTTGAAGTAAAAATCAAGCTTTCTAAATGCTCAAAATTCATCTCAGACAATCTGAAATTGGCT